AGCTCGTCGCTGTGAGCCTTATACATACATACATACATACGTACATACATACATCCATGCATGCATGCATGCATGCATGCATGCATACATATATATATATATATACACATACATATATATATATATATGTATATACACATTTGTAATGTATATGTGTATGTATGTATCTATGTTTGTATGTATGCAGGTACGTGCATGTATATGTATAGATGTATGAATATGTATGTATATGTATATGTATGTATACGCATGTGTATATATATATACACACATACATACATATATATATATATATAGAGAGAGAGAGAGAGAGAGTGCGTGTGTGTAAGTGACTGTGTGTGTGTGTGTGTGTGTGTGTGCGTGCGTGTGCGTGTGTGTAAGTATTGATTTGTCAGGTAGTGTTTTGAATAAATGCATAAATGAACATACATATATACATATACATATAGATATATATGTATATGTATGTATGTGTGCTTGTGTATCTACACACACATATATATATATATATACACATAATTATATATATATATATACGAATATATATATATATATATATGTGAATATGGAACTGAAACTCGTAGCTTTTAGCCCACTGAGTTAGAATATCAACATGGCTGTCGGGAAAACAGGACGCTGCACCCTGAACCCTTAGATTTTCGGGACTCCTTATTGTGATGTCGCTATTCCATTGAAAAAACGCCAAGTTGCGAGGTCGGAGTGTAGCTTTGAGACGACCGTTGCAGGTCAGGGTACTGTAGAGGCCGCATTAGTTAGATAAAATATAGCGTTTTGGGGTATATTCTATACTGTATTTACATAAGGAACCCCGAAACATAGTCTATTTTAATCATTGACGCCCCTACACTAGACAGAAGCAAGATGAGGAATGGCTCCTAACAACTAGTCACTAGTCCGTTGACCACCGCATATCCGAGCTTGAAGGCCATAGGTTCGGGCCTAGGGCTTTTATTGTGGGATTCGGCCTTACAAAACCATCAAACTTTAACGACAAATCCACGCTCAACCGAAAGTCGTAAACTGGGAACAGCCACCGACGTCATGAAAGTACCGCTTCCGGGTCTCCACATGCCAGCCCACCTGCAGGCCAGAGCCTCCAAACTCAACCTTGAACCCAAAACCCTGAACGGTTCTGTTCTCCGTGCCTTAAGCCCTAAACCTTCCCTACACCCCCGACTCGAACCTCATAAGCCTTTAGTCCGAAGCCCAGTTGCAGCAAGGCTTTGGGTTCGTGCTTTCGGTCACGAGCTTCGGGCGTGGAAGGTACGCGAGGTGTGGTTCGAATCGCAGTGCGTAGTGGGTCCCCGCGGTATAGGGTTGAGGGCTTCAGACTCGAAAGAATGGCAGCTTTTCATCGCATGCCTGCAAAGGATTGGGGAGCCCTGACACATGAAGTTTGTAATTGCGCAGGTTCCGAAATGAAGCTTTACGAACTCCTGACAAGACGCTCTACACTCCCATGAAACTTCTAAAATACAAATCTGCTAGGAGGGGGTTGGGGGCTGCTTTGCTTCGGTGGTTGGCAATGGGGATAGTGGGACCCGCAGTCTTGTATGGATACTGGCATTGGTTTTGGGTTCAGGTGATTAGGGTTGCCATGAGGTATCTGTCTAGTTCATGTTTTTCCATGGGAAAGACCCCAATTCGGTACTTCAGCATCCCATATAGGTACATGGACACTTTGGGTTGTTTTAGATTCAGGATGTTGGAGCAAGTTCAAAAGTTAAATGGCTCAAGGGCTACACTGCCTCAACTGAAAGTACCCACAGTTCGGCGGCTGCTGGGGTGAATTAGCCTAGGTCTCCAGGCCTGAGTCCTCGTAAGCTTTGAGGCTTTATGTCTTGCGATGTTACCCTAAACCCTAAACCCTACACCCACTGTTGTGGCTTCGGGTTGTCTGAGGGGAGGCTCGATGCAAAATCGAATCTCTGCCTTGCTCTCAAACAAGTCGGATGCGTTGCCTTCACTGGCACCCCTAAATTGCAAACTCTAAACCCTAAACCCCTAAACCCCTAAACCCTAAACCCTAATCCCTAAATCCTAATCCCTACACCCCAAACCCTAAACCCTAAACCCTAAACCCTAAACCTAATCCCTAAAACCCTTAACCCTTAACCCTAAGCCCTAAACCTTAAACCTTAAGGTTTTCGGGTTCGAGGACCAGACTCCCTCCGAGGAGGTTTGCACCAATAACTCCCTGGGTCCTGGTACCCGGGCCCCTTTTAGGGTTCCTTTAAAATTTGGTTTAAGGTTTAGGGTTTAGGGTTTTAGGGTTTAGGGGTTTAGGGTTTAGGGGTTTAGGGTTTAGGGTTCCTTAAAAAAGGGATCCATAAGGGTTTCCAAAAGGGCTTCTATCAGGGTACTATAAGGGTTTTTGGGGGTCCTTTTTATAAGGGCGCCGTACTATTGTGGGGACCTAGAAGGAAAACTACCCATATAGTATATACTTGGGCCCCAAAGTACCCGAACTTAAAGCAGGGAGTACTCTAAGGCCACGGTAGAAGGTATACTCATATACACTTAGGGCCTAGGGATACACTTGGACCCTGGAGGTAACCAACCAGCAGCCGATTGATAGGTTCGTTTTGGTATGTGGATCGTAAAGGCAATCCTACGATATTTGGGGTTAAAGTAAGTCCACGGTTCTGCATAGTAGGGACACCGCTGAATGCGGTCCCTGTTAGAGGCTTCACGAGAGCGGCGTTCTTGCGGGATCCCAAAACGGTAGCCCCCAATGAGGGAGCTACTCATACAGGCCCCTGCCAGATTACGGAGAAGCTGTTGTGTGAATTTGTTTTGGGGCTTTCCGAGTCTTGACAACTTGAGTTCGTACCGAAGCTTCAAGGCTTCCGAGGACAGGGCTATCTGAGGGCTGGGTCCAGCATTCCTCTACACTGAGGGCGTGTACGGCCTGCTTAGACGAGGGGCCTTAGGAAGCAAAGTTACAAGTAACCTACTAGGAGGTATCAGTAGTTATGGCCCTAAACCCTAAACCCTAAACCCTAAACCCTAAACCCTATGGCTATAGTCGAATAGTTACCCTGGGATTTTGTACCCTTCTTACCAAGTCCGGGTCCGACGATCCTTTCAGGCTCAATCCCTTATAAATCCGTGATTCAACACTTTAAGTAACCCTTTCAGTAACCGTTTAAGCTACTGTCAAGCTCTCCTCATGGGAGTTTCCCAAAAAGTGGTACCGTAGTTTGTGGTCCTTACGATAACTATCCTACTATTTAGGGTACTAGATTAGGTAGACTCTAAACCCTAAACCCTAAACCGCTTTACTAGATTAGGGTCCCCTATTTTCGGAACCCCCCCTCATCGTCTGCAAACCGAGCGGCAGCTGTCCATGGAGCAGCCAATGAAGCTGGGAGCGCACTTCTGCTTGGGCGGGGGCCTTGTATTACACGGTTTAGGGTATAGGCCCTGAACCCTCAACCCTGAACTACTGACTCTAAGGGCAACCCTCAGCTACAGCGTTCCGATAAGGGTAAGCTGCCTAGAAAATCCTATCAATGCTGCTATATGGTTCTGTTGAGGGTTGCTCTCACGGTTACCCGGCTTACTATAACGGTTGCTACAAGGGCTATATGAAAGTTCCTATCAGGGCTCCTACATAATTCTACATCGAGTTCTGATGATTCCTCACATATATACCTTACAGCCTTAGGCGACATGACAAACACAAGGACTGTGAGGTTACTCTATAAAGGTTCTCTGGTTCAGAACTTCTGGGACGGATTTGCTTGTATGGTGCGGCGTACTCTGTTCGTGCCACGAAAGGGGGGTTCTAGTCTCAAGACCTGGTTTCGATACCCTAAGCCCTAAACCCTGAACCCTAAACAGTAGAGGGTCTGTGGCTCGACCCATAGACATTCGGGTTTGGACTTTAGGTGTATGCATAACCCTAAGCCCTTATTCGAAAATGGGGGCCTCAAGAATTATAATAGGGTTTCGGGGTTATAGTATATTATACTATAGTTATAAGGTCTAACTACCTAATCAACACATACATCCCCGGAATATGAGGTTTGTCAGATCCTCAGAGCCAGGATTTCGGGTTGGGGGGCCGGCTTCGTTTGCCACTGCTTCAAGCCCCAACCCGACCGCCCCCAAGCTCCTGCAGCTTCATGGAATGGGCTGAACCTGACCTACCAGTACCTGCTTTTGCTGCAGGGCCTCAAAAAATGTCTATGCTAGGAATGCTAAGATATGTATTCTGTCTTATGACATAAAAGACTTCAACTTCGCAGGCTGAGGTAGTCCTTCAAACTTTAAGGAAGTTGAGAATCGGAGCCCTACAAGGGCTTGGGGCGCCTCTCTGAATCGGGGATCACGTGACGTGTAGAATTCGACTAAACCCCCAGCAAGTATCGCTTGGCAGGCCTAGGGCTTCAGACTACGTCTTCTTTGGCTGGTGGATGCGAGGATTGCTTCTAGTTGACGGATAGAGCAGACAAGAAACCAAAATAGAATTAATATAGGGGCCTCAATAATT